CTGAGGATGCCCCAACGCTGGCCTGGCCTGCCTGCTCTGGGCGCACCTGCTGCCGGCAGGCCTGGCCGGCGGCGAGGCTGTGTATTTTGTGCTGTGGTATGTCGCGCTGCGTGCCCAAACCAGCGCCCGGCTCCGTGCCGCCTGCAGCCTTTCTGTACTGGCACCGCCTGGCCAGCGGGAACCTGGTGGTACAGCTGCTGCTGTACCTCACAGGTGCCGCCGCCTTCCTGCGCAACGGCGGTCACGACAGGTGCGCTGCGGGTGGGTCCGCCCGCACCGCGCCGTCGAGCGCCGCGCCACGCGGTTGCTGCTGGTTGCTGCCGGGCGCCTGCCCCTTCCTGCCTGCCTGCCTGGCTGCCGGGTGCATGTCCCATGCTTTGGCACGTCAGCACCCACCACCCTGCGACTGGCAGAGACACAGCGCGCGCCTGGGGCCCGCTCCCACCTCTCTGCCCGGCCCCCTCCCTGCCGCTGTCGTCATCCCACACCCGCACACCTTCTGAGACCCCGCTGTTTTGATCCCTGCTTCTCAACAAACAAGAAAAAAACAGAAGGATGGAAGACAAAGAAAGAAATGCCTCCTCCTTGTTTACTGCAGGTGGACCGGCCTCACTGACCACCACTTTCTTCACTACTTTGTCACGGCTGCCACCTCGCTCCATGTCTGGTACCTGCTGGCCGACGCCTGAGCCCCTCGGGGCTGCTCCGCGCGCCCGCCAGTTGCCGGTGCAAGCGTTGTTTTGCCGCTGCCCATACTGTGAGATCCACGCACGGATGTATGGCGGTGTAAAGTAATGCAATGCCGCGCAGCGGTGTGGAATGTGCTGCTGCTGGGTTGGTCTCCGTCAGAAGTGTCCCCATCATCCCGGACCTGCGACGCCGTGGGCGGCCGTGGCGGGGCGGCACGCTTGCTGGGTGGCCAGGCATGCTTGAATTGCGCGGTAGGGACTGCATGCGCCATTGCACAGGCTGGGAGGCCCCAGGAGGGCCGATATGGGAATCGGTCCACAAGCCATTGCGTACTGCCGGGGCGTACTGCATGGCTCCTCGTCCATTATTGCAGTGCCGCGGAACGCTGGGTGCAAGTCTGCATCTGTGAACAGCGCCGCTCCTCCCACTGTGTTCATCAAACCAACCTTCGGCTCACGGGGAAAAAGTGGTTGAGTGCGCTGGAGGTGTTTTGGTGAACGAGGTCGAGTGGCGAGTCTCACAGGATCCATAAGTGCGTTTTGCGCGTCGCAAGTGCGGCGCGGCTGGGGACTGATCCGTTCGGATGAGCAGCCTCTGTTGTCGGTCTCCCGGGACTGCCCGCCGGCTGGCGGCGTACATATGTGATCGGAGGAGCGTGTGGCGGCGCTGCTGCACCCCCCGGTCGAGCCGAC